GTGGAAGTATTTTCTTCGCACCAACAAATACTAATAATAATTTGTCCGTGAATTTATAAGCGAATATCATTTTTACAGATACGGATATAGCAACTCCTGGTGGAAAATCTCCGGTAATATTTTGTTTTACAAAAATCTTTCATCATCTTTTCAGTACGGGTAGTGGAAATCCCCGGTCTGAAGAAAAAAGAAAACTTCACGCCACATACAAACGGTGCACTTTAATCTAAATTTAGAATTTTTGTTGCCTTTAAGTTATCTGTGGGAAATGATAGTCATGTCTAGTGAATATATAGAATCATCACTCAAAAAGAAGAGGAAGTAACTCAGCAATTTCTTTCTCGAAAAGAGTACTGCTGGCTAAATTACTCGGTTGCTTTGATTTGAAGGATCATATATGTTGAGTGAAGTACCACGGCAAATTCTATATGTTTTTCAAAGGACATGCATCTCCGCGTTCGTTGAAGCGTCAAGATGTACTGTATAGACAACAACAAATAATACTGATAACAATATGTCGCCTTCCTGATGAAACGATCCTTTGTTTGTCCATGCTAAATTGGACATATAGCCTCACACACCTCCCTAAAATCAATAGCCTAGGGCTCAACGACATTCAACATTGATGCTGACCTTGATATTTTAACTGGACTCGCTAGGCTGAAGGCACCCGGTCAAGCATCCTCGCCATTTGGCACGCTGTCGTGTTACGTTGCACTGCTCATAATCGACTCTAGCCAGTTAGTTGGAATGCATTGGTATCTTGGCACAACCACCCAAATATACTTTTCCATCCGACTACGCCATCGTGTTCTTCCCTGATCTCGTATTCGTGGGTATATAACAAGTTCGAGTAATTAGTGATTGGACTTTGCGTCTGTCACGTTCACACCAGGACCAATCCTAAGGCCCCAACACCCGTTAGGTAAACTTGAGATGTAGCCGGCAGATGGGTAGACCTATTCCATCACAGTTTAGGATTTGTCCTGGTGCGAACTTGACAGACGCAAAGACCAATCACTAATTATTCGAACTTGTTATATACCCACGAATACGAGACCAAGGAAGAACACGATAGCGTAGTCGGATGGAATAGTATATTTGGATGGTTATGCCAAAATACCGATGCGTTCCAACTAACTGGCTAGAGAGTCGAATACGAGCAATGCAACGTAACACGACAGCGTGCCAAATGGCGAGGATGCTTGACCGGGTGCCTTCAGCTTAGCGAGTCCAGTTAAACTATCAAGGTCAGCATCAATGTCGAAAGTCGTCAAACCCTAGGCTATTGATTTTGGGGAAGTGTATGACGCTACAGATCACTCCCCCCCTAGTGGGTTCGTGAGGACCCTAAGACGATACCAGCCGGAAGTAAAAACCCAGTGGTTTCTCCACTGGTAAAACTCTTCCGATGGGCTCACTGCGTGAGGTGGCCCCTGGTTGTCTGAACCTTATTCTAGGGTGTCGTGGCGATTAAATAAATAAAATACAATAAATGGAATTGTACGTCGGTCGCGGTCATCTGTTCCTTTCGACGTTCCGTCCAGTGCTCGTTGCACCTGGAATATAAATAAAAGTCTTTAATACCACGAAAACGTTGCGTAAAAATGGGAATTATTTATATATAAACATATCGAAAAATAAAAATTTACGCTTATCTTCACCGTTTTTTTTAAAATTTCATTACATGGTAATAAAAATTGATATAAAAAGGCAAAGTGTACGAGGGTTTGTATTGATGTATCGGGTAGCAGTCCGGAGTTGTTTTGGCGTTGAGCCTTCGGTAATCACCGGTTGGACGCCAGTCGTTGCTATCCTTTTGGGAACCATGTGCAATGGCGATGCCCAAGGACTGTTCGACGGTCTGATAATGCCCAGGTCGAGCATGTGGTCGAATTCATTTTTCGCCGTTTGCAGCTTATCGGGGGCTAAACGGCGCGCTTTGGATGCCACAGGTGGACCTGTGGTTGTGACGTGATGCATAACATTGCTGGTTATGCACGGAAGAGTGTGCTTCGGTTGCTGTAACTCTGGATATTTCTCCAGAACTGCCTGGTAGGACGCGTCGCCTGATTGTTTAGTCCTAACGATGGCTAAACTCGGACCTACATAGGTGGTGCCGCCAATAGATAACTTTGTGCTGTTATCTATCAGTCGTCGACGGCGAGCATCTACGAGTAGATCGTAATGGTTTAGCAAATCTATGCCAATGATGGGCATAGAGACGTCTGCCAGGAGGAAAATCCAGTGGATAGGTTTGCGTAAACCTAAGTTGAGGTAGGCATACCGTCTCCCGAATGTCGCGATTGCCTTGCCGTTGGCTGCTTGAAGATTGAAGGATGGGTCAAGATGACGCTCCTTTGTCGTTGCTGGAAGAACGCTAACTTCTGCGCCGGTGTCGACGAGGTAGCGGACTTTCGTTTTAATGTCGGTGACGTAGAGCAAACGGCTTTTTCCGCCGGCTACGGTTGCCGTGAGCACGTGCCGGCGTGACCGTTTCCCGAGTTCGGGTCCTTCTTAAAACGGCATGGTTTACGACATTTTCTGGCTTCATCCCCGTAAGTGTTATGAAACCAGCACCATTCAGGGTTTTCCACCCTGTTGGGTTTCGTTTTAGGGCTACCACGCGACTTGCTGCGATGCGCCAAGGTGCGTTTCTGTGAAGTGCTACGTGATCTAGGACTTCGAGATCGTAGCAACCGTCTCACAGAGTTGCACAACTTGGTCACCTCTGAATCCTGGCGCTCTGTTTTGTCGCAGATAGAATATACGTTGGAGACGGGTCTGCTGGATATCTCCAGTATTTTATCTGCTGAGGCTGCCAGGTCGTCGAGTGGGACTGACTGGAGTGTCACCAACACGGTTTGCACCGGTTGTGGTAGTTTCGAGAGAAATAGTTCTCGGAAGAAACCATCGTCAAATGTTCGTGCACCGATTACTTCTCGCATGCGTGCGAGGACTTCAGTAGCTGAGTGGCTGCCTAGCTCGATGTTACGAAGCAATTCGTCTAGACGTTGGCGATCTGTGAGATCGCTTTTCTTCAAGAGTGCGGCCTTTAGAAGTGCATAAGGGTCACTTACTTCAGGATTAAACATGTTTGCTGTAACATACCTGTTTAATTCTCGCGGTAGTGAACGTATGACAGCAAGAAATCGAGAATGAGGATCTGAGACACCCTGTTCTCGAAAATCTGCCTCGGCATACAGAAACCATGTTTCTGCATTGTCTGGCCAATATGGCACGAGTTGGATCGTGTTCGTAGTCGGCTTAATACGAATAAGCTTGGGAGTGTGGTCGGACATGAGAAAGTGTAGTAAATGGATATATAAATGTTATCGAAATGAAAACAATAAACAAATATAAAATGGAACAGGCTCACCAATTCAATACTTGTTATTGGTCGGGATATGTGATCACGTCGGGCTCACCAATTTAGGATTTGTCCTGGTGCGAACTTGACAGACGCAAAGACCAATCACTAATTATTCGAACTTGTTATATACCCACGAATACGAGACCAAGGAAGAACACGATAGCGTAGTCGGATGGAATAGTATATTTGGATGGTTATGCCAAAATACCGATGCGTTCCAACTAACTGGCTAGAGAGTCGAATACGAGCAATGCAACGTAACACGACAGCGTGCCAAATGGCGAGGATGCTTGACCGGGTGCCTTCAGCTTAGCGAGTCCAGTTAAACTATCAAGGTCAGCATCAATGTCGAAGTCGTCAAACCCTAGGCTATTGATTTTGGGGAAGTGTATGACGCTACAACAGTGCACTAAATAAGCAGTCAGTCCACATTATCCTGGTGAAGTTAGTCAGGGTTTCTGATCGGGTCCAACACTGCGGCAGTTTGGCCGGACTTGCAAAATTAGGAACCACAGAACCACTCAGAGCACGGTTTACACCATATCTAAAAGTAAGAGTTATGTATCAAAGTAAACAGAATTTAGTGGACTTGGGGGAGTGCAAGAACATGAGTTCCCTAAGTAGTGTTTCCTGGGCCACTCCTGTTTTGCTCATTCACAGGTAACCTCTTCGTCCAAATCTCCTCGTCTCTCCTCATGTTCACTTGTGACATCAAAATATGGATGAAAATGGGTAGGGAAAGGAACCTAGGATACTCTGAGACGGTCTACTGTGGTTGGAGTCGTGATAAGTTGAGAATGGTTTGGGCTCCAGGCTAGAGAAGTGGAAGGCGTTGTGCCTTCGCACGCCGAAAGCAACGAAAACCAGTTACACTCCAGGCACGTGTGCGACCACGGGTGTACTCTCGGTGAAGGACCTGGGACCTAGCTTCTCTGACACACTAGATACTTGAGCCTACCGTGAAGGAATGGTGGCAAAGGCGAAAGCCATCATGCAGTTTCTAAGAAGACAGGTCTGACCCCATTCCTTGAGGTACTCCTCATAGTACTTACAACCTATTTTAGACCAAACTTAAAGGTGTTTAACACGATAGCCCCTCCTATATAAAAGAGAGATGCAAACACTTGAGGGGGTGAAAAGAAGAGCGACAGTATCAGCTGCTGAATCAACAGGCAAACTATATGCGTAGAGCCTCAGGCAACTCGAATAGTCCAACTGAGGATATCGAAGGGAAAGAGACGACCTAATAAAAGCCTACAAAATCATCCACTAAACAGACCACCGTCACAGGATAATGTCATCTGTCCAAAACCAAAAGTCTCACGGCCACCCCAATAACATACCCCACCACAGGATCAAAATATAAGTTCTTCCCACACAAAGGTGTTTCATACGGAATACTGTGCCGAAAGAAGTAGCTATATCCAGTTTCAAACGACTGTTCAATAAGTATGTTGGCACAAACGGCTTAGTACCAAGATTCACCGGTAGACAATTAAGGTATGCTCATCCATCCCTTTACTATCCAACCCTACTGTCTGCAGCAAGCCCAATCGCTTCTTAATGTTATTACCAATAACAATTATTTGGCGTAAGTACTTTCCACTCTTTTCTGACTTCCTACTAGCCCCACTTCTTACACTACCTTTTAAATGATGCTTATCGCTTGCTTGCAGAAACTGTAATGCCAAAGAATTAATTGATCTTATCATTAGCTCCATTTATCCTCAAAACAAACAAACCTACAATTTGCAAAAGAAACCTCCAAAACTTTAGGCAGGTAAACTTTAAAATCTTATGTGACCACCAGAGAAGTATAACCAACCAAAAAGAACTGACTGTCAAACATAGAGCTAAGAACTCAAAAGTTACAAGTTTCCTCTACTAATAATAATTGTATTGTACGTTGGATGTTACAAAGAGCGGACCTTCCAAAACTTCAAGGTGACAGGCGTTTATATTCTCACGTGGATTTCTACGGAAAATGCTGAAGTCATTGCTGAAAGACCCTATACTAGACCTGAAAAGAATCGGTAATAACGTCAAAAAACTTATTAGGAATGAAAAATTGGAAAAGAAATTTTTCAAGGTTCGTTCATTCCACGTCTATTTTACGATTGAATTTTTAGCTTATGGTTAAAACATGGAGCGAAGATGAGGACTCGAGGAGAATCCTAGCGTTTTTGAATATCATGAAGGCACTTTCTATCAAGCCTGAATGTACAAGCCTGTGCATTAAACTGATGTTCATGGCGTTCGTAAGGAACTGTAAATTCGTTTTGGGGTCCAACCTTGCACAAATCAACTTGATGCGCGAATGTCTTTTGGAATTGTTTGGTAAAAACTTGGATGAAGCCTACATGCATGCTTTCGTTTACGTACGTCAGCTAGCAATAACTCTACGAAAAGCATATAGTTCCAACAACAAAGTAAGTTTGAACTGTGTCAGTTTTAGAAACATAAGGCGTACGAATCATGAACAATCTCATAGGCTTTTAGATTAATCTTGGCTTAATCTCCTAGGGTCGTTTTTATCACCAAGGGCTACTCAGCCTACATTTCCAATATACTGATTTGTATCACTGGAAAATTAATCGAATGGATTTGATATTAAATATCACTCAGAAATGTTGTGAGAATTGACATATACTCATTGTTTGCCACTATCGGTATTAAAATAAAAAACAAAGGTACAAGTGATTGAAGGAAATCGCTGTTCTTTTGGGTTGTGTAGGTGTGGTTTAGTCTTTCTTCTTCAAGATATGAACAATCTAGAGCTAGTACCCGAATTTTCGTTTCACCTTCAGTCGTCGCCTATTATCAAGTATACCAAACCACCGTCATCTCAAATGATCAAGTTGCTAATCCGCAGTTGAAAAGCAAGGGTTGCACAGTCAGAAATGTATACCAGCAGGATTTACTTGAACTTTGTAAGTCGAGTCTGTAATTTGTCCTGCGTCGTCATGTGTGCCATCTCACCCTCCCAGCATCACTGGAGTCTTACTGGTCTTAGTGTCTACTTATAAGTTTTGTCAGTATATTTTTTACATCAAGTCGCTCGTTAGTCTTGTTATCCACTTCCTTAGTGACATACTATATCTTAGTTTGCCATACTAACGTGCACACTACTTAGTTCTGATGCCTAGTCGATAGCTACTATTTTGACGTGGTGATCGGGCTTGCGTATCGCAGTGACCCGACGAGCTATGGTGGTGGAACACTTACCCCACCAGGGTCATATCATACCAGATACGTTAGTTGGATAGTGGTAGGACTAAAGGTAGTTATTCTTACTGTGGATTGCCATGATGGGGGTCCGAAACAGAAGTTGGACGAGGTGTGACAGTAGTAATGTTTCTCTTTGATGGCCAATAGTAACATGTAGATACTGTCTTCCCTATTGAAAGATTTAGAAAAAGTCAGCCACTAAGCATCACCCTCTGTCCTGTAGCATTCCAGACAAGTATACTGCTCAGCAGTCCTATCTTCCGTTACACGACTGATACATGGTCTCTGACTATCAGATATAAAAGGGTTACAAGTTTTTGACTATAGGTGTCTTTGTAGCATTGTTCAGTTAATGTGGAACCACTATGTTAGCAATGTGGAGGTTAGATGGGGGGTATTAAGCAAGATAGCCAAGTCAGTCGATGAGGCTGCAAACTTTCAGCGAATGAAGTGTCTGGCAAATGCGTTGCTCATGCCAAGATACTGCCTACCTCAATGTGCAACGTTAACCGAAGTAGGGTCGGATTGGGAGAATGTTAAGGATAGCTAGTCTAAGATGGCGCCAGTCGATGAAGTCTTTGACTAAACTGCATAGAAAGACATATGCCGCCTATTTGGGCCTCTCAATATGTTTTAAATCAATAATTGGGAACTTGTTGAAGTAGCTGACGGTTGGTTACTATGGCGCAGATGTATTCACCCTTTGATATCTTCAAAAGTGTAAACATTTTCACTCGCTTGCGGTTATATCCCCTCTCTCATTTCATACACTTGTATACTTTGACATCACTCTACCCAGTTTTTCTTTGCATGCTGCGTGGTGTAACAACCTTGTCCGATGCACTCCTGTACCAGGCTCAATGTTAATTTCTCTCTATCCTAGTAAGTTGCTTATGATTATGACGTATAGCCACCCCTATTAGTGTGGTTGCGTTTTTCCCTGACTTAGTGGTTTCATATGTATGGATTTAAGCTGTAAGATTTCTGTCAAAGTTCAAACTACAGACGTGATTGAAAAAGCCTACTGCTTGTATCTCAAATGAGTGAAATTGTCTCTTTTCATCCAAAAGCTATTGTTTTCTCTTGGCAATAACTTTTGACTAGGTGAATTGTGATATCTTACTTTTAGTTTGACTTATTTCAATGAAATGAGGATCGTGTATTTGGCATAAAATATTCAGGGCGTCTGAAATACCAGTTTTTCGGAATCGTGAAGATAGTTTGAGGTTCGAATGATATTTTATTGGTTTCACTGCATTTATTTGGTAAGTTATAACACACCTTTTGTTTACTTTCATTCTTAGGAAGATATACAGTCCGTAAACAATTGGCAGTTTGTGTACAGTCTTTATTTATGGTCCGATTTCGCTTCAAGATATGCAAGTAAGCATACATTAATACAATCACTTATTCATCCTCTGAGTCAACTGATATATGGAACAATCAAGTAAGTTTACTTTGCAAAATATCCTTTTTAGTTGTGTTACAAGTTCTGTATCATAAACTGTTGTACAGTTGCAAGGATTTATTTTAAAAGCGATGCACTACTCTACCTTGTCCTGGATTGTTTGCCTCATTTGTAGCTTTCATCAGCTGTATGTAACTGAATGTCACCACGTGCTTGTGCTGCTTGCAACTGTCATTGGTTCCCATCACTTACAAGTCAAACTGTTTCGCTTTTGCTTATGTCATCACAAGACTTTTGTCTTATAAACTGGAACAGTAGACCAGTCTGATCGGATTACCTCTGATTCTTGTACACTAGCTCATCGCCAAAATGGTAGAAGGCATTATTGTGTAACAGTTCAAGTTGGTACACCTCATATTAGAACTTCAGATGGGAAAGCACTAATTTAAAGGCTTTATTTCTCTCCAGGCAATTCATATAATGCACATCTGCAGACCCTGATTTTCTTGTTATTGCGAAGACACTGGTTCCAGTTGTCTATCGTGTCTGTTTCTACGGGCTTGTTCCGCTGCGATGCTTCATTTTATTAACATACAGCACGTCTTCCAGTAACTGAATAGATTTCGATTTATATTAGCTGCCTGAAAAAAAAATGCAATTTACGTTGAAATGTATTCATATCTACCTAATTAGTGTGTGCCTGCATTTTCAGGAATGAAATTATTATTACAGCGGTGCAACTTGCCACACATATCAGCAAGTCAAGGGAAAAGGCACTAAAATTAAAAATAAAGAATCAGTCAAAGTAGGCGAAAGTAGTAGAGAGAGAGGAAGGAGGAATGAAAAAATAATTAATTATAACGATTAAGATGAGGATATTTCTATAAGCCATCGTTGGAGAGGATACATAGAAGATTGCCGCTTTCTCTGAAATACGCATCTGGACTTCGACCACGCACTAGTACGGGCTCGTGTACGTCCACGCTTTTCTGGTCGCAGGAAACAGGCGATAGTAAGGCCTGTTTACGGTCGATTGGAAAGAGGAGGAGGTAGCTAAACATTTATCTGGAGGTGATAGCAATGCTTATCCTGTGGAAACCTGGGTGTGATATTCAGTTCGGTGTAGCAAAAGCAGTAAAGACAGTTGGTAACCTACAGCCAAAATTTAGGGAACGTTATTGAATTTCCACTACGTAATCCGAACTGACTAATGCGAGAGAACTCATCTTAGTGGACTATAACCACAGAAAGGAGCAAACGCAGCTCAAACGTAAATTGGCCAAGAGTCTTCTCAGTAGTAGGTGGCGAATACGCAGATGACATAGTCCTGTTAGGTGAAGACGCTGACAAGATGCAGAGTCTTCTGAACACTTTGAGTAGCGATTTGAGAATGTTTGGGATGCGTTTCTCACCACTCAAATGCTAATTGCTGCCCCAGGATTGTTCTTCAACGGTGCCACGGCTAACAATAGAGTGTAGTGATTGAGTGTGTCGATCACTTCACTTACCTGGGAAGTGGAATCAACCCTGATACATTGGTCAGTGGCCGATGAAATCTCTGTACGGATGCAAAAGGCTCGGCTGGATTTTGCCAACTTACATCACCTATTGCACCACCGTGATATCCGATTGCCTATTAAAGGTCTCGTGTACTGCACGGCAGTCCACTGTGTTCTACTGTATGACTGTGAAACATACGCCTATTGAAGGTGGAAGACATGAGAAGACTTCAAGTGTTTGACCACCGTTGCCTTCGTAGTGTAGGCCGTATTCCATGGTGTCACCACATGAGTAACTCAGAAGTCAGGTTCAGGTGTAGAGTTTTAGGGAGAAGAGGTGAATCAGTTGATGAGGTTGTGAACCTTCATCGACTGAGATAGCTGGTTGGGACATGTGTTACACATGCCTAGTTGCCATTTATCCTATCTCATCACACAATGTTGACCGAAGTAGGTGTAGGTTGGAAAAAGGCTCGAGGTGGCCAGACTAAAACATGACATCAATGTGTGAGCTGTTTGACTGTTGGTTTGAGTCGTGTGGGGGTATGCAGACAAAGTGGTTTTGGTTGGTGGGACAAGGGGAACCAGTGGTTGGAGACTGACTCTAGGTGATATGGCTCAGAATCGAAGCCAGTGGTGCAGATATCATCATCATTATCCACATAGGACCAGGCATTACTGCGTAACGGTCCGAGTTGCCACATCTCATATCAGTACATCAAACAAAAGGGCAGTGAAGTGCAACGTGAAGATTAGAAAATACAGTCAAAAGAAGTATAAAGTACGAAAAGAGGCAAAGGAAGAGTAAGAAAATAGTGAGATTCGGTGTAGCGTCGTTAATGATGATGAGGTGGCGAAGCGAAAGAGATTGAGTAAGCATCAGCATTAGATTATAATCGTTAAACTTATTAAGGGTATTGGCAAAAAAACGATGGTGAGACCATCACTGAAAACGGTTAGAACACAGATAACCTCACAGGTCAGACGGCTAGGACGTTAGGTGGAACACCTTGTAGCATAGTTCAACTAGTCTACAGCAACGCTTCAGTTACCTAGCATCCAGCCTGTACCTGAATGAGATGTAGATGGCGCTCCTCCAATTCTCGTCGGAGTTGAAAAGGCTATTTCGAACCATAAACGATGCAAAGCACCTGGGCCTAACAGTTTGCTACCAGAAGTTTTTAAGGATAGAAGTAGAAAACTGCTGAACAGAGTAACGGAAGTACTAGGTAGGGTATGGGAATCAGAAATGCCATCAGGCTGGTCTACTTCACATTCTTCTAGTGTACAAGAAAGGAGAGGTGTATTGTTGTGAATAACCATGGAGGAATTAATCTGAGTAGGATTGCGTCTAAGATGCAGGGGTTCATAGTTATCCGACACCAAACTGAGCATTGAGAAGAACAAACCCTTGGAAACCAGGTAGGCTTCAGACCTAAACGTGAGTTTATCGAACAAATTTTCACCCTTCAATAGGTTGTGGAACATAGGCATACTTACCGGCGACCGACACTTGCTATATTTCTTCAGTCCAGGGCAGCATTTGAATGTTGACTGTGAGGTGTTGTGGTTTGGGCAGCCAAGTAGTATCACTAGCCCTCACACACTTGTTGTGGCTGATGACCTACCGCACGAATGTACACAAGGTAGCTGAATAGATTTCAATTTCAATTTCTTCTTGGTTCTAGGTCTTGTAGTGGTATCTCGTTGTTAAAGCAGTGCTGAGGAAGTATATAAAGCTAATCATAGCTCTCTACTCGAACTCGTGCAGTCGTGTGCGGGGTTATGGCCAGTTTTTCATCCGAATTGATGACAATTAACGATGTCCACCAGGGATTTCAACTGTTATTACTTCTGTTCGACTTTTTTGTAGATGTAATAATAGCAATAAACTTAGGTACCCTTGGCTTCACAGGGATTGGTCTACTCCCTGGAGGGCGTCTGGTTGACTTGGAGTACACAGACCATATTGTCCCGCTAGTTGAAGACGGTGAAAAAATTTAGGGTCTTCTGAATGCTTTGAGCAGAAATCTGGGTGTTTGTTGTGCGTTTCGAACCTGTCAAACGTAATACGATGCCTCAGGACTTGTCTTCGGCTGCTTTCAGTCTGAGTTTAGAGAGTAAGATGCTTGAATGCGTTGACATCTTCAGTTACTTGGGAAACTACATGAGATTAAACTGGGTGGTCTCTGATGAAATCTCAGATCGGGTACAGAAAGCTTCTTTGGCATTTGTCAACTTTCTTCATCACTGGCGCCGACTGACAAGATATCCGACTACCCATCAAAGGGCGAGTATACTGTGCTTCAGTCTGTTGTGTCCTGATATACAGCTGTGAGATATGATTATAACTATCGAAAGTAGATGTGCAGTAACTACCAGTTTTTTATCATAAGCGTCTTCGTGAAATGGTGAAATTACCATCTGGTCAATGCTAAAGTTAGGCCAAGGGAATTAAACACGAAAGTGAAGTCAGACGATGAGGTTGTGAACCTTCAGCAACTGGGACATATGTTGCGCATATCGAAACACTGCATACCTTGACACACAGTGCTAGAAGTTGGAAGATTGGAGGAGAGCTCAGTGTGACCAGACCAAGACGTGGCAGTAGTCGATGAAGTCTCTGAATCTGTCTTAGCCGTGTGCGAACGTGTAGACTTCTTGGTTGGACTCCTTGAGATCACAGGAATCAATGGCTAACAAGCACCTGCGACACTGTTCACAATGACACACGTGTTCACTCTTCAACGTCCCCCAAAGTTGGAATCTTTTTACCAACCTTCATTCTTAACTTTCTTCTCCTCTCTTACACCTTTGTCTACTTTTTATATCAGTCTTTTTTTAACCCACTTCTCTCATTATCGCTGATAGATCTGATCGACCAAGGCTGTCTCAAAGCTTTCAAATATTGTTTTGGGTACGTGTCCAGTTAACCACTGAAGCAAAACTAAATGACCAGTATTTCTCGGTCTATTTTATAACTATCATATCATGCTGATGAGCTAAAACGAAATAACCATTCATCGCTTCTCAATTTTTAACTATTCATTTTATATCAATGTACAATAAACTAAAAAAAGCTGTCTTTTATTCAGTCGTTTCACCACATATAGCATTTATATTTTTTATTTATTGATAACATCACTTACTTTCAGGTTAAATAAGGGTCAACGTTGGGTACCCTTACGTTTTCACTGCATTTCTATGCTGCATAACCTAGCTGGTGTACCAATTCCGTGTTCAGAAAAGTTGTCAGAAGGTGAACAATCGTCAAAAGATGACAATGATATTAAAATACCCTTAGTTGGTAGAGCTTTATCCTCAGAGAATCGTCTATTGATACCTACACTACCATTATTGTTAGATGTATTTCAGCTAGTTAACTTTAATCAAAGAGCTACACGACCTTCAAATGCCCCGTTAGATCTACGCTTATTACTACACTTTTCACCTAGTCAAAAGCATGAAACTGCATTAAATGACGCTATAATTAGTTGGTTATTTGATTTACTTGCAGAATGTATGGCATTGCATGCGAATTCAGTTGCTTTTCCAGAATATTCATTACCAATGATTACTGAGGTGAGTGTTTTAATGTGCCTATTTATTGTATACATGAACTCGTACATAGTACTTTTCCTAAACTTATGAATCGTAATAGTTTAGTGAGGGTAAATAATACTATCCATTACTCTCCCGTGTTGATGAAGAGAGTTTAAACTTGAGGCGTATGGTTAACAAGTAAATGCATAAAAACTGAAACCAGAATAATAAAAAGGTAGTGGCTGTTGTATTCACTGACTCATTTATATTGTAATTTTTGCTGTAGCCACTATTATGTGGATCCTAGGTAAAAGATAGCAATTTATGGTTGTTATCATTGTGTAATATGCTGCAGTTAGAAAAGTAGATGACTTAACAATACTCGGGTTTCTTGGTCGAATTTGTTCCACATAGATATCTGTCTAGACAGCATAGTGTGCAAGCGTAATGTGGTAGTTAGTGAGTTGTATTTTCATGAGTTTTGAGACCTGGCACAACTGTGTTACATGTGAAAATTATACATATTTATCGAATACATCTTTTGCATTGTGGAGATTTATTCAGATGTTTTGATAATATTTTCTTATTTGAGTACCTGCTGGAAGTAGTAATAGTTATTTTTATTTCCCTGGACACGAACAACAGGTGTAATACACTCACCCACTTTGTGCAGCAGGTAATAAACTACACCTAAAGTATAAGAGATAGTGTTATTACCTGGTTGCCCGGACCTCAGTAAGTGGAGTGGGGCTTAAACCCGTGGTCTAATGGTTGATAGTCATCTCCCGAAACCACTGAGCCACAGCTCCACTTCCCGGAGAGGTAGGAAATTAGGTTATCTGAAGTAGATGTGTATAAGTTGAAGTCAAACATTAGTATTTATAAAAAGTACTGTGTTTATTGTGGTTATTTAGCTTCATGTTATTTGAATTAAATCTTACTAAAACGGGATTTATATTGATATTTGGTTGTTAATTGTATAGAACAGTTGTACGCTTAATAGTAGAATATGTATTGAACTATATGAGCTTACTTGAACTCTGTAGTGTCATTAACACATTCATCGTCGTTTAGATTATAGCTGGCTACACAAACCTGTGTATAAGTTAGCTGAATTCGATTAATTATTCTAACGTCTCATTATCGTATGCTTTCTGTTCATGAGTTAATGCCGTTATGGCTAACTGTTATTTGACACTTTTGTGCAAACTATCAAGTGATTCTTATAATTAAAGTAGTTGTGGCTAGCAATGAAATCCTGGATGCGCGTCCCATTCTATTCGGAACTCGACAGCTAGATGTACTTGTACCCCTAGTGAGTGGTGTCGTTTTCACTGAGACCCGAACCTTGTGCCCATTGCTTCAAACGCCGATATATTATCCAGTAGGTCACTGGGGTGCCAGTACATCTAGCTGTCCAGTCTCAAATAGGACGAGATTGTCGTCCTAGATTCCACTCCTAGCCACAACTAAGTTAATCATAACAATAAATATTCAGGCAATATCGAGGCACCCACATAGAAGATCATATGCCAACGGCGGTCAATCAATTCAATCCAGTATAACAGCAGAGAATTAAAAGTATCGACAAATAATAGTACTGAATAATTGGCTTTTTAAAAAACCTATTGCATGTGCTTCCATTTCAGTAATCTAGTATTGTTGTTTATATATGTCACTAGCTAACTTACAACCGCTTAAATAGCTACTGAGAATAACACCTTAATAATATGAATTTAAAAGAGATGAAACCAGTTTAGGATCAGAAACAACAGTTTATGCTTCTGAGTTGCTACGATTTACAAGAACTACACAGAAGACTAAGAAGTGACGAAAAAACAATGAGGGCAGCTTGAGATGTGGGGTAAAAAAGGTCATAGAATAAATAGTAAATGTTCATATCTTAAAGCAGGAGAGAAATGTATACTCTTGTGTCATTGTAATTTGGGGCCTCTTGACTACTGGTTTCAGTTGTTTTGCGTGACCTTTATTCAGGTCTACAGTTTGTTATCATCAGGGATTATCAATATGAGACATTGAATTACTGCGCATTATTTCAATTCGCCACGCGTTACAGCACACCACATGATGTAGATTATCAAAATAAGGGACAAGTCAACTGTCCAGTGCCCTCAGGTTTCCAGTGGCTTTTCAACTGATTGTCAGTCTATGATCAATAACACCTTAAAAATAAAATCTCTACAAATCCCTAACTACATTTCTGTTTAGTACTCATTAGTGACGGAGATTCGAGATTCACATCCTGAAGTTCTAATGAGAAACTGTGACCTGTACGAGCCAACTAGTTGAAAGTAAAGCAGACGCCGATTAAAGACCTTTGTAGATGGTTGTGCTATATCGTGAATTGTCAGAAGTATGGAACTGTGAAGCATTGAACTTCCGATCCAGTGACTGAATAGTCAACGCGTTCTTGGTGAAACCTGAATGTTTTGATTTCGACTCATGGGTGTGAACTGCTGACGAGTCCGATAATACGACTAAGCAGCTATCCAGTGCTCTCAGGTTTCCAATGGTTCTCCAAATGAAATCACTCTGCGTTATGTATACTACCTTCAAAATAAAATCCCCATAAACCTCAAACGACATTACTCTACAGTGCTCATTAGTCATATGCTTCGAGATGGAATTGATCAATAGCCGCAGAAAAGTAATTTTCCACCGTATGTACAATCGAAAATTGTCAGGCATAATCATACCTCGAGACTTACTGCTCTCTTTGTCAGACTGTAACGGAGGAAGATGGGTCTAAAATTCACCCACAGAGGAGATAACTAAATCAATGGGTTAAACATTTCGAGAAACTGTTCAGCTGGCCTCCAGATACTATTCCATTCTCCTTTATTCTGTCACATCCTGAATGGATTACTGAGATGAGCCCTCCAACTTTTTTAGACGTTGAGAAGACTGAAAGTAACCTGGGAAGGGAGGGCAACAGGCCCGATGTATTAGCGCCAAAGGTATTGTCCAGGATCGTTAATTAGAAAGACTGAAATGTTAGCTGGGTTATGGAAACTAGATATACTCCTTTCTGACTGATCGCAATCACTGATTATCCCAGTCGTTAAGAAAGAGGAGAAATCCTCTTGTGATAAGCATAGGAGAACCAGTTTAGCAAATAGTCTGTAGGATTCTAGGTTCTGTATTTGTTCGATACCTGAGTTAATCTCGGAACAGCAAGACCAAGAAAAACAATCAGGCATCAGACCTGGTCGTGATTGTATTGATCAGATATTCACCGTACGCCAGGTCCTTGAACGCAGACATACACTTACCTACACTCAACATTGGTTGTGTTTTTCCACTTGAAGGAGCATTTTTATTCCGTCGATCGAGTAGTCTTGTGGCAGTATCTCTCACTGAAAGGAGTTCCGAGTAAGTACATCACTCTTTTGAAGGGTCTATATTCAAAAACCTGTGGGGCTGTTAGAGCCTATGGTGAGTTTTGCGCGTCGAGTGGTTTCTGTAAAGGTTATCCGTTCTCTCCATTTCTATCTTCTTTTGATATAGACATGCTTATAGAAGCCTCTCTCATCTAGCTTTACATGGAAGGATTGGGGTTGTCACAGGAGACTTTTGCGGACCTACTTAAGTACGCAGATAAAACAATCCTGTTAGGTGAAGATGCTGACTAGATACAGGGTTTTTCTGCACTCCTTGACTCCTAAAATGAGAATATTCATAACTCTCCTACCAATCAAATGCTAATTATTACTCCAGGACTACTGGTTTGCGTCTAACAATAAGGAGTAATGTGACTGAGTGCCTTGATCACCTACATCACACCTGTAATTCATAAACCCTACTATGCATAAATGCTAAGTGTACTCATATACTATGAGGTCTTTAATTCACCTCTTCTTATTTCGTGTTGTACATATTATAATTTCCGTGTCAATTTATTTGACCATTTAGATTAAACAGTTCTTGCGTGTATGTCGTGTAGCCGCCTTCTGTAGACAGTTGAAAGCCCTAATGACAAAAGTACGTGAACACTCAGAATGGATTCTTAAGTGTCGTAGACGTATTCGAAATTTGACTAGTAAAAATGAAGTGGTAAGTAAACTAACTATCTTGTTTTAATAAAATTTTATTCCTACTTATATGTATCACACGTCAAATTATAAATTTTGTTGGAGTTGTGTAAGTGTATACAGTTGTCGTTGATAAAGAAAGGTTTCTAGGCACGAGAAAATTAGAGAGGAGATGCATCCAAACCATTGAAAGTGGAAGATATAAGAAGGCTTCAAGTGTTTGACCACCGTTGCCTTCGTAGTATAGGACGTATTCCGTGGTGTCACCATGTGAGTAATGCAGAAGTTAGGTGTAGAGTTTTAGGAGAAGAGGTAAATCAGTTGACACGGTTGTGAACGTTCATCGACTAAGATGGTTGGGACATGTGTAACGTATGCCTAGTTGCCGTCTGCCTCGTCACACAATGTTGGCTGAAGTAGGTCCAGGCTGGAAATAGGTTCGAGGCGGCCAGACTAAAACATGACATCAATGTATGAAGTCTTTGACTGTTGGTTTGAGCCATGTAGGGCGATGTGGAATAGCCGATCGGGGTCCGCCGGACAAGAGGAACCAGTGGTTGGAGACTCTAAGGGATATGGCTTAGAACCGATGTGAGCGGCGCAGATGAATACACACATTATCCTCATCTTAACGACGCTTTACCGAATTTCACCATTTTGTCATTCCTCTTTCCTTTCTTCTCGTGCTTTACATTTCTTTTGACTGCATTCTCTTATCTTCATCCCTCACCTCTCTACCTTTCTACTTGATGAACTGACGTGAGGTGTGGCAACTCGGACCGTTATGCAGTAATGCCTTGTCCTATGTGGATATTGATTGATCCAAACCAGTTTCGAAACTTTTCAGTGAATCAATATCAACATGGGAAGTGGCATCATTGCACAGAGGTCAAAGTTGCCACATCTTGTATCAACACATTAAGATGGAAGGTAGTAAAATGAGAGACAAAGAAATAGGAAAGATTAAAAAATATCATTAAAGGTCATAGAAAATTGTAAGGAGGCAGGGTAAAACAATCACTAAATGGAGTATGACGATTAGGACAGACAGACAGAATCTCAACGTTAGAACCTCACACATGAGTGCATCGGCTCAAATTGCCAGACTTCATAGTAGTATATAAAGAGCGAGTGGGTAAAAAATGATATCAAAGTAGACGAAGTAGTGTGAGAGATTAAGCAATTCGAAGATAATGGTTAGTGTGAATATTCAAGCATTAAAAGATGTCACTGAGTGAATATATCTGCACAATTGTGACTGTTTTTCAACCACTGATTCCTTTCAGCTCAGGGACCCCAACCAGGCATTAGGCATCTCACACGACACAGGGCAACTTCGACTGGTGTCAAGCTTTGATCTGGTCACCCTGAATCCACTTCCAACTTAGCTCAACTTCTCGAGGTAGGCGTTGGCTTGTAACACGCAACACATGTCTAAGCCGCCTGAGTCTCATCAATTAACTTGTCTAGTACCCTTCGCCTTACATCAGCACTGCTCACACAGTGATTTCACCAAACGTGAGCAATGCTACGAAGACATCTTTGATGGGAACCTTGTAATTGCTTCATATCTTCCAGTTTTAACCACCATGTGTTACAGGCCAAAACGAACTTCAAAGCAGTTTACTCGTCTTTTAATGGATAACCGGATATCTCGTTGAGGGGGGTGATATAAGTTGGCAAATGCCAAATGGTCTCCTTTATCCTAGCTGAGATTTCATCAGTGAGCAATCTGTTTGACCTGATGTAAATCTCCAAGTAAGTAAAGTCATCGACACGTTCCACTGATTCACTTCCTATCATTAAACTGGGAGTGTTTGCAGATTAGTCGTGGAGCATCATCTTAAATTTAACAGGTTCAAAACGCATGCCAACCATACTTAGATTTCTGCTCAACGCGTTCAGAACACCCTGGATTGACCAAGTAGGTCAATTTCTGTGAAGTCAAACTTATATGGGGTTATATCCATTAATCCGTTAATGACAAAGTTAAATAAGAACGCTGATAGTGGGTATCCTTAGCGGACACCACACTTGACGACTTTCCATAAGCCCTGACACAACTATGTGAGTTCAAGTGGAGAAATTCGATAAGTGGTATATACTTGTTTGGTACTCCCTTCATAGCGTAAGACAATCGTAATCTCTGATTACTAAAATATTACTTGATCGACCTTATATATTATGTCGGTTGAATTATTTTCCTTAAACTTGTTTTCGTATGTGTTTGTCTTTTCTTTTGGTTTTCATGCATTTGCACACTATTAGTTGAATGTGGAGTCCACGTGTACTCTCTTAGATAGTTCAAATGAAATTCTACCATTTTGGCGATTCTATTCTCAACATAAACAAATTCGATCTGTAGAATTGAATCGATTAACTGAACGTCATAAAAAGGAGGTAAGAATATGTTTTTTGTGTTGTTTTTTTTTTCACTTATTCTGATAAAATCATGTTCACACTGTTAATGTTATACATCCGTGTATAAAATTATGCATACCTTGTTGGTATATGTAGAAAAAATTTCGACATCGAAAGTTTATCTCATCCAAATACCGTTGAAGGCTGTCTCTAGTCAATCAACTGAGTGTTGAAAACCAACTATATCAAATTTCTAGCTCCTATTGAAACTAGAAATTGTTTAGCATGAGGTAATCTGTGTAATTTAGTAGACCCAGTATATATATATATATATATATATATATATATATATATATATATATATATATCCCTGGATGGAAATCTAAGATCATGTCGATAAGAATACTAAAACTGCGTGGAACATTGATATATCCATATAAATAATCGATTGCGAAATAGACAGAACTTTAGTCTTGAACTCTACTATTAATCGTTATGAACTGCTATCGAAAATTTTTGGATAAATTAAATGTTATGGTACAAATAATTGGTCTATTCTCAATAGTTCTATACTATATTTATTATCCGTGATTACTGGAACTTCCAAAGATGTTGTACAGAAGAGTTTTCTAATCACAACATGATCTCAACTACTTAAATAATTGAACTTCATAAGAAAAAGTCAAAAAAAATTGAGGGATTGAACTTTTCACAACAATGTATGCTATATAACTAGAATCGGAGTCAACTCAACTCTACCTCAACTTCATCGATTTTGAAAAGGCCTTCGGTAGCGTCGACCGAGAAGTAATTTGGCAACTGCTTCAGCACTACGGAATAGCACAAATCTTTATCAACCTCATTCAACAACTATATGAAAAGGCCACATGCCAAGTAATTCACAATTGGAAGCTCAGTGATGCTTTTGAAGCGAAGTGAAGACAGGAAGGGTTAGAACAAGGCTGTCTACTATCACCCATGATATTCCTGATTGTGGTGGACTGGATCATGCAACAAACTGTGAGGAGCGAGGGGGATACGCTGGATCGGGAAAAGATCGTAGAAGGTTTGAATTTCGCCGATGACTTGTGTCTGATGTCACACAAACTTGAAGATTTACAGGCAAAATCCAACAAGTTGACAGAAGAGGCAGCGAAGACAGGACGGGGGTGATGAACATACCCAACCAACGCCACCCCTACCAACGACAAGCTCTAATCAGCATTAACGGGAGAAACTTAAAGGAAGTAGTCTCTTTCACCTATCTAGGCAGCACCGTTTCAACTACAGGCGGCACAGACGAGGACGTCACAGCCAGGATAGGAAACACAGCAAGACGGGCGTTCATTAACCTGAAACCAGTATGGAGATCTGCGCTCAGCATTAAGAACAAGATCCGGATTTTCAACACTAATGTCAAGTCAGTGCTCCTATATGGTTCAGAGACTTGGCGTGTTACAAAAGGCATTTCCAACAAACTACAGACATTCATCAACAACTGCCGCCTACGCTTGCTCGATACTGAAGATCAGATGGCTAAAGAGAATGAGTAACAAGAAACTCTGGCTGGCAACAACCAACCAACAACCCATCGCCCAACAAATATGCTGGAGAAAGTGGAGATGGATTGGGTATACATTGAGAAGACTATTCAGGGACGCCACGCACCAGGCCCTCGAGTAGAACCTAGATGGGAAACAACGAGTTGGGCGTTAGGGGCAAGGGTGACGTGGAGGAGATCGTGCGAGGAGGAAATGAGAGCTTGTGGGTAGTCGTGGAGCCAGGTTGAAAAGATTACAGAGAACAGAGTGGAATGGAGACGCGTGCTACTAAAGCCCTATGTTACAGTAGGAACCCAAGGGACAAATAATAAATATGATATATAACACTTCGAAAGGTATATAACCGGGGAGTCTTCGTTTCTTAACACACCTTGGATCTACTGTAAGACTTTGTGCATTTATGTCATATCTTGGCTTTTTTTTTACCAACATATGTCTGCTTTAGTTGATATGATAGCATCAGAGTTGGCGATATGTGGCACCTAAGTCGATGAACTGATTTTGCTCCTAATATCTACCCTACTAACATCCTGGTTCTGTGACGTACTACTAATAACTAACTAGGAAAGCAATACTCATCAAACACTCGTAATCTTCATATTTTCTACACACTTGATGGCCATATTTTACAGCAACATAGTAAGAAATGCTGTTCAATACTCTCGACTCTAATTGGGCAATAGGATATTTTACCGACAAAGGCCAATTGGATCTTTTTTATCCACCCCAAGAGTTTGTCAACCATCTATCCATCAAAGTTGGTTTGACTATAAATTCCCAAATAAAGTAGTCAATGCGTTTAACTGTTTTACTTTCTATTATAAGACTATGTCAACCTACCACTATATTCCAGCTTGTCTCGCTCATATACACATCCCCCCTTATCAGTGTCGTTCAATTTTACAACCCTATCTATCTATTTTAATTAACTGACTATAGAAAAAGTTATTGATATGTATTCACTGAGATGACATATGTAATGCAAGGGGGTGAATTCGCTTACCATTGGATCCAACTATTCACAATTGTGTGCTAGACTACAAGACACAGTTGTTAATCCTATTTCAGTTTCATTTCGAAATCTAATTTTTGCATCTATTTGTCTTGTCTTAGTGTGCCTCGAATTGTCACATTTGTTGTTTTGTCTACTTTTTATTCAATTCCATTGAAACAAACAACACTTAACTCTGAATAGAGTTGACATAATGAAAAGCAGGAAATGCATATTTCCTGTTCATATAACAACTGGACACTAGTTGGTTGTTCAACTGATATTGAAACCTAGTAACTATGGATTATATGCTAGTAGTTGGCTGTTTATAAACTTATCATGACAGAGGTTCTCTCTTTATCAACTGTAGTCTATTATTCCTGTGTTAACAAACATTGTAACCTCCTTCTTCTTAGCTATAAACATAGGTAATACTATCTGACTGTCATAGTCACCATATGCAAAGTACAGTTTTCGAATATATGATGTCTTGTTTCGAAGTAGTCCTACTTTACCTGTTATAGATAAACCAGTATTGAAACTGGTATACAAGTGTATCGATTCAAGTAGCCACATTTCATAGCAGCTTAGAAAACGAATGATATTCAGGTAACAAAAGGTCCATGAGATTTGAGAGAATAAATAGATGAAGGTTATTAAACATATCCAAGACTCCGAAAATGACCCATTTTCGTCTATTATTCATGAAGGCCAATACTACTACTTAGCTACCCAAACCTTTGTAGTTGGAAAGTAGATGCCTAAACCGATGAAAAAGTCAGTCTCAACTCGTATGTTGGTAATTTAATTTATCTATTAGGATCTATCGATGTATTATTATTATTATTTGTTCTTTGGGTTCTTGGTGGAACGTAGGTCTTCAGTAGCACGTCACCATTTCACTCTCTTCTCTGCAGTCTTTTGAAGGCGGCTCGACGGCTGACCATAAGCTTTCATTCCCTTCTCACACCATCTCCTCCATGTCACCTTTGGACGCCAAACTCGTCGTTTCCCCTTTAGGTTCCACTCGACAACCTGGTCTGGCGCGTGATGTCCCCAAGTGGTCTTCTCAGTATATGCCCAATCCATCTTCACTTTCTCCAGCATATTTGTTGGGCGATGGGTTGTTACCAGCCAGAGTTTCTTGTTACTACTCATTCTTTCTAGCCATCTGATCTTCAGTATTGAGCAAGCGTAGGTGGCAGTTGTTGATGGAATGTCTGTAGTTTGTTGGAAATGCTTCTCATACTCTGCTACTTTTCTAGTTTTATGTAACATAATAAAAAAGCTAAATGTTTGTTTATGATCGGATTTACAGCTTCTTCCTCTCTGAACTATTTTTTTTCCCGTTTTTCAGCCAATACCTACAGATGCCAATGTTGAGTTTGATTCAAAGAAACGAAAGATTGAATCCGACAATTCAGATACCGATTCTGATCATAGTGATTCATCGTACGATATTGATGATGGTCAAACAGTTACACATGTCTCTAAATCGAAGGGTAAAAAAAAGATAAAGACAAAGAAGGATAAGACTAAAATGAATGGAGAAGTTTCTTTGAATAATGATAAACAAAATAAGGCAACAACAAATCTTGACAAGAATGATGCTTATGAAAGTGATGAGAGTGATTTCGATCTAGAAGCTGCTTTAATGGATGAAGGAGATGATAATAAAAGTGAGATTACAGGTGCACCAGATGAACTATCAGAATTCGAATTAGAAGGTGTTTCCAGTGATGAACACAGTGACATGGAGGATTCGTTCAATGTAGACTTGGATCATGATGATGATGATGATAATGATGACAATGATGGTGAATACAATTTAACATTGAATGAAAATTCTGATGTTGAGATGCCTGATGATTTACTAAAATCGTGTAAACTCCCCAGAAAGCAGGAAGTTAATGAAAATACCATGATGAATAAAAAGAAGAAAGCGAACAGTTACCTTATCGTAAAAACACCAACTCCTAAGGTTAAGCCTATAAAAATTACTCCAGAATCTAAACAATCAGCCATGACAGATTCAGATCCCATAATGAAGAATAAACAGAGGAAACTCAAAAAGAAAAAGAGAAAGAATTCCTCCACTAATCAATAATGAAACTTGTTTATATAATATTTTTAAGTGAAATCTGTTTTTCGTGTATGGTACTGATGGATTACTTTATTGTTACTTCACAACCTAGGACTCAGTCATACTCTGTTATAAAGGCGCCTATCATAAATATTTCAACTGTACAAATAGAGACTTAACTGTAACCCTCAACCAGAAGTTCACTGATAGATGTTCACGGTGTCCCTTACTATCATAATCAACACAGGACAATGCATTACTGCATGACGGTTCAAGTTCTCATACTTCATATCAGCACATCAAGTAACAAGGCAAAGATGAAGAAAAAAGGAAAGGTAGTAGAAGAGAGGAAGGAAGGATGAGAAAACAATGAGATTAAGTATAGCTATTAAGATGAGGATAATATGTTTATGCATCTGCGCCACTGACATCGGTGCTGATCCATATCACCTAGAGTCTACAACCACTGGTTCCTCTTGTCCCACCAACCAAACCACTTTGTCTGCATACCCCCACACGACTCAAACCAACAGTCAAACAGCTCACACATTGATGTCATGTTTTAGTCTGGCCACCTCGAGCCTTTTTCCAACCTACACCTACTTCGGTCAACATTGTGTGATGAGATAGGATAAATGGCAACTAGGCATATGTAACACATGTCCCAACCAGCTATCTCAGTCGATGAAGGTTCACAACCTCATCAACTGATTTGCCTCTTCTCCCTAAAACTCTACACCTGAACCTGACTTCTGAGTTACTCATGTGGTGATACCATGGAATACGGCCTACACTACGAAGGCAACGGTGGTCAAACACTTGAAGTCTTCTCATGTCTTCCACTTTCAATGGCCATGTTTCACAGTCATCCAGTAGAACACAGTGGACTGCTGTGCAGTACACGCGACCCTTAATAGATAAATAGATATCACGGTGGCGCAATAGGTGATGTAAGTTGGCAAAATCCAGTCTCGCCTTTTGTATTTGTGCAGAGACCTGGTCGGCGACTGACCCACTAGGGCTGATCCGACTTCCCAGGTAAGTGGAGTGTTCAACGTGCTCAACCACTTCACTCGTTATTGTTAATCGGGGTACCGCTGAAGACCAGTTCTCGTATCCTTTGTGAAAATAGTGTTTAGCGTTTTAATTCTGATAATCAGATGATCTGTTCTAGCGGTCCAGTTCTCGATAGACGATTGTTGATGTTCAACTTCGAAATCAACGGCTCCATTTATTTTTTCAAGCTGTCATTTTGATATACTGTAACTGTGAATTCATATCACCTTACGTGTGTACACATACCTTTTTTGTTTACTAATTCGAATCGAAATCAGTTAGTGTTTGTTGTGTTTCACATCTGACCACACCTTCGCCGTAGGTAAATTTTACTGCAAAATAGAACTGAGTCATCTAGTTCCTCCTATGTTACAGTCACGAGGTAACCTAATGAAACTATTTTTCTACCGAGGTCCTACCACACCAGAAATATCTGTTAGGCAGTGGTTAGACAAAAAGCAATTACTGTTATAGCGTGAATTATTGCGTTATGATTAGGGCTTGGGAGTGAGTTCGTACTATTGGCTGTACAGGGGTGTCTCAGCACTAAAGTTGTTTTTGTTGGTTGGTCGATGCCACGCTGATGGTGCCTTCCGTATGAAGTAAGGGATAGAAAGGGTTGGTCCTAAAAACACCGCTTCCGTCTACTCTGTGGCATACCTGCGCCGGCAATACGTCCTCGTAGTCGGAATTACACAAGACAAATTACACTTTAACTTCGAAAAAGGCTGTGTGGCCGGCCTCAAGCAGATGTTCCTTTGAGATTTGCAGTTATGCAACAACCGTTTTCTTCCAGTTATCTCCGAATGAACGAGCTTTCTACATTGTGGGTAACCGCGAAGTGTCCACAGCTCTCGCAACTTTGTCAGCACTCAAGTTCCTTCAGGTCAGTATACACCTCCCACATCCCTTAGGTATAATCTCCCTTCACACCTCTTGGTCAATACTCCTACATCATCTTTAATTTCTTTCAGCTCTACTGCTCTTGAAAACAATCTGAGTCCATGGACTAACGTAACTGGTCTCTTGAAAAACTGTCCTCCTAACTATACCTTAGGGCTTTCAATTTCCGCACCCTCCATTAAATCGGCCAACAATCATGTAATGCTAAAACCCCGATACCTCGGGTCATTGTATGCTGTGTTTGTGAGGTACGCACACATGACCTAAGTGTGATCATTCAATTAACCTCTCTCAATCAATGTACAGAATCTCAAAATTCTCTTCTCGGGAAATTCCATGGATAATCCTCTTGGTCTTTTAGGTTCAAGTATAGCACTAAGTGCCAAGGAAGAAAATGATCTGCTCCACTGGACCCCAGTTGCCTGTGCACTATTTGACTGACTGGCGCAGTGAGGACTAAAGAGAAAGGGTAAACTAATCAATGTCTCTTGATAATCACTGCTTACGCACCCACTGGCTGCAGTCCAGAAATAGTGAAGGGTGGGTTCTGTCGAAGACTGTCTAGCCTCCTACTGAAAACCAAATGTTCAGACATAGTTGCCGTACCAGGTGATTTCCATTCACAAGTGGGTAGGCTAAGTCAAACAGAGTGGCACTTGGGTTGGAGTTTCGAAATCCCAGCAAAACGAAGTCTTAAAGAAAGGCGAGAAGTCCTCTTGTGATAACCACAGGGGAGTGAACTTGACTAAAATGCTGTCTAGAGTTCTTGGTTTTATGATTATTGTACATCTGAGCAGAGCTCGGGAACAACAAGCGAAAGGAATCCAGGTGGACATCAGACATGGCTGTGGGTCCATCAACTACTTATTTACCCTCCACAGGGTTCTGGAGCACATGCACCTACTGACGCGGCATTGACTGTATTTCTCGACCTGAAAGTGGGGTTCGAATCCTACAATCAAGAGGTTTCATAGTAGTGTATCTTACTGGAAGGAATTCTGAGTAAATATGTCACTCTATGGGGGTTCTGTAATCGAATACCCATGAACGAGTCATGACCTATGGTGAGTTGCGTACGCCAAGTGGTGTCCATTCTTGTTCAACTTTGTCATAGACGTACTTATGGGTGTCTACCTCTCGTCGCGTGACTTTACAGAAATTGATCTCATCACAGGAAACTCGACAGCAGATTAAGAGTATGCAGAAGACACAGTCCCGTCAGATTAATACGTTGGCGTGATGCAGTTTTCTGGAAACACACTGAATGGCAATTTGAGAATGCTTGGGATACACCCACCACCTAAATGTAAATTATTTCTCTAGGGTTGGTCTTCAGTGGTGCACTGTCTAATAATAGGTAGTGGACTGGTCGAGCATATTGACCACTTCACTTACCTGGAAAGTTAGACCAGCTCTTGTGATTCAGTGACCAACGAAATCTCCATCTGGATGCTGTAGATGGCTGAATTGGTTTTCACTAGCATGCGACATTTTCAGCGTCAACATGATATCTGATTGTCTATTAAGGGTCGGATGCACCACGCTGTATTTGGCTGTCTTCTGCTGTATGACTATGAAACTTGGTCATTGGAGATGACGACATTGCATTAAGTCTTTGACTGTTGATCTCAGCGGTGTAGGACAATGTGGACTACTCTGTTTGGGTCTGCGTGAAGTCAAAAATCAGTGATCAGACACCGTAGGTGACATGGGCACAAATATTTAGCGTAACTTTTTGTTTAAAATAAGTTGAAATATGTAGTTTTTGTGTAGAAACATCGTGAAGTAGACAAATATTTACACTGCTTCACCTTAATCTACACGCATTTTAAGTAAATACATTAACTAACAACAGCTCAAAGGAAATGGTCAGTCTTCAGATGTTTCTGTCGAATGAGACTATGATTAGTAATGGTTAGTGAGACTATCAACGCAAAGGCCATGCCCATTATAACCATTCAGGTACATGGTTGCTGAGTCTTATTTCATTGTTCATCATCTACGACCTAATCTCATAACACATGTAGCTTGAAAGTGCTTCAGACGTCCCACGGTTATTCGATGAGTCTTTCAAGCACGGCAAGATTTTTCGATTCTACCGATTTCCTTCGGTTAAATCTATTTATGGTTAGCACTTCATGCGAATAAGATCCAATTACTATTGTAAGTTATAAGTCAGTTATTGTACACTCTACCTAATCACTTGTATTTCGACTTCACTTCTTAGCACCTATGTTCGATTTTTATGTTCTAGCCGTCTTTATTTCCCATCTGTGGATCTCATTCCGAGCCACACCCTACCCCGACGTGTAATGCTAACCGACAGAGGATTTCGCTAGCAGTTTGTTAAGGTTGGTCAGACTAAAACATAGTACCATTCCATGAAATCTCTGACTACTGGTTTGAACTGTAAAGGGAGGTGTAGATCATCTGCTTGAGGTCCTCAGTATTATATGAGTTGATGTCTAGAAACTCGATGGAATGGCTGAAAATCGGTCACAAGGGTGTAGATACATTAATTCTTTGACGAATTTCCACTAACCCTCTTTTTTCGTTTTCTTCCTGCGCACCTTTATCTCTCCTTTTCTAATCTATTGTTCTTTGTATGCTGCTGTAAAATATGGAAACCCGGACCGATGCACTTGTATGCAAGGTTCTACGTTGATATATATATATATATATATATATATATATATATATATATATATATATATATATATATATATATATATATATATCGAGGATGAATGCACAATTATATATCATTTCGGTGACTTGTAAAGTAACTATCTGTATTTTAATTATGAATGGGTAACTAATCAGTCCAACGATAAACTTATTAAGCTGTTTTCTGAAGAGTTGTGACTGGTAGATGGCATTGCTATATTCCTTGAGAAAGTGAAGAAGTTGAAATGATTTGTTTAGCATTTCAAATAACAGATTAATATCAACAGAATTACAATCTTGGCATTTAAGATGATTATAAGTGTGTCTAATAAGAACTATGTGTAGTGGACAACACTGACTCACAAACTCATAAGACACTAATCATTGTCCACTGAAGAGTGGCTCGTAATGTGCTGTAGCAGTTACCAATTATTTTATGACTTGAAATCTAAGTGCGTTATGTTTTGTTTTGAGTGCTTTGATGTAACCTGAGAGATGCTACGAATTTAGGTTTTTCTCAATGGGTTAAGCAGTTTAGAGGAGACAGTGATTGTTCAGTGTGGGTAAATGCCACGTTATCGTGTTGTCAAGCATGATAAATTTATACTTTACGCCGCACAGTATAAAAGTCATAGTGAAAAAATGTAAGGCGATGTAAGCAAGTTCCTTTTGTGATCCTAGGCACAACAAATCCTGAGGCATACTAACAAATTATAGTTAGTCATTTCACTGGATTGTAATGAGCTGAATGCAGAAATTTCTAAGCACAGGAAATATTTATCGTACACCCTGCTTTTACTCAAATCGCATGAGAACATTTGCTCTTTTTAAAACTAGGAGAACGTCTGCTTGATTACTTCTTTTTTGAGTGCACTGATCATCTGTTACACGACGGGCCCGATATATTTAGAGAAGAGTTAGCTAAGGACTTATCTGAACGTGACAGTAATGCTCATGGTGAGGAATTCTGGCGTGATTTTAGGTCTGTTGTAGAAACAGCTGTAAAGACAAGTGGTAACCTCCAACCAAAGGTCAGCATACGTCATTGAGTTTCCTCAACGTCATCCAAACTGATCGATGCGAGAATACTGATTGCAGCTGATTGTGATCACAATGAAGAGCGAAAGCAACTCGAACGCAAATTGATCAGGAGTCTTCACGTCAGTCGCGAGCAGTAGTTGGCGGCGTAAGCGAGACAGATGGAGAATGAACTGCCGTTGGATGACATTTGGCAGTTTTTTAGGCTTATTAAGGTTACCGGCATGAAGAAGACGATGGTTAACGTAAGCATCACTAAAAAATACGTAACGCTTATAGCCTCCCACGACGGGTGGCTGGAAAGTTAGGCACAGCACTTTGAAGCACAGTTCAACTGGCCCACAGCAATGCTTCGGTTGGCAAACATCCGGATTGAACATGAATGAGACGTCCATATAGGTTTTCCAACTCTCCTTGAAGTTTAAACTTTCCAAGACTACAGGACATGACAGCTCGCCACTTGAGGTCTTCAACGATGAAGGTGAAAAATTGCTGATTATATTGACAGAAGTAGGTCATAGTGTACGGGAATCAGGGGTAGTGCTGTCACACCAGTTTACTTCACTGATCATCCCAGTCTTTAGGATGGGAGGAAAGTTTTCTTGTGACAACCACAGTGGAATTAGTTTGATTAATGATGTGTTAAAGTCCCTAGGGTCCGTCTTTATCCTA